TGATGTCCTGGAATTTTTGAAGTTTACGCTGTCGCAAATACATTAGAACTATCACCCGGAACCCTTCCCCTACCTCCCTTTCAATCTCAAGTGATTATCGTATCAGTTTTCGGAGAATTTTGTAGGTTGAATGGACCGAGGCTGTAGTAGAAGGTTTATACGAAGGATAGATGGGTGGGAGGAGGTGATAGGCGTTTTCTGTGAGGGTTTATGAAAAGACTCTCCTCGATCTCTGCCGGATTTTGACCATTACTCCGTCTTATCTGCACAGATACTTTTTCAGTATTTGCTTTCAGGTTCTTCTCACTATTTCTGTGGGATCCACTCCCAAGACGGTGGTTCAGAAGAACGAAAAGCGATACGTGGCCTTCAAATGCTTCGACGGTAATCTCGAGTCATTTATTTGTTTTCACCCCTTTATTTATTTGCTACTTATTATTTATTATACCGCCATTTTCTAACACGTTAAAGACAGCGTGCGTTCTGAGTTTTTTGGCCGCGTACGACACGCGCGATTTTGTGAACTACGTTTCATAGTTTTACGGTGTGATCTATAGAATAAAGGCAAAATAAGGAAGAAGCGCGTAAGCGCGATAAGGTATGTTCTCGGGACGTCGTGACGCGCAACCGCGTCACGTTTTCGCCAATGAGCCAAGGTTACGGTACTAAGATCAATAGTGACAATTGCACATGGTATTACTCACGTCCTACATTGATTAAGTGCAGAAACTCAGTGTCAAAGACATCCTCTATCACAAATGAAAAAAAAAATTTTACCCCTTCTATCTTTTTTCTTGCATAAAACCGAAGAAATTCCTACAAGATATCATAAACTCAAAAAATGGTATTTATTACTTCACGTATTATTATTTACCAGATTAGTCCCCCGTCAACCGCCGGGACCTTCCTTTCCTGCGCAAGCTTTCTATCCTCCGCTATGGTCCCTTCCTCCTGTGACACCAACACCTGGAAGTGACGCGTATGCAACACAATGGTGTTTCATACAGTAGAAGGGACACAATCATGATATGACGGTAGATTTTTCGCTTCCCTTCCTCATCCTCCCTTCCTCTCTCCACTGCCCTCCAGCTGCCACTGCAGCACCATGTGGAATGAACGGAAGTGTGCTAAGCAGGTGTTTATATAGCCCTAAGAGTGTTATCACAACTATCCTGCTACAAAACATTGATATCTCAAATCCTGTAAGCTACCCGATTTGTTAGCGGTTTGTTTATCCCATGAGCTTCCTTCTCACTCACTTCATTTTGCGGACGGACACACATACATACATACATACATACAT